GCTCCTCTGATGCTGCTTGGCCTGCTGTGTTCATCCAACTCTACACCTTGTTGTCTCAGATTCTCCAGCATCTGCAGTTCCTGCTATCTCTGAAGCATGAATGACACTGGCGTGGTGAGAACAACAAATGCTGGAGTTCGCAGCGGGCCAGGCAGCATCCATGGAGAGACAGCAAGCTAACGTATCGAGTCTAGCTCGCTCTCTCTCTCCACGGATGCTGCCTGAACCGCTGTGATCTCCAGCATTTGCAGCTTTTCGTTACAGGCTCCAGCATCTGCGAGTAAATTCGCTCCGACGAGGGTTGGTGAGTGCGTGCCGCATTGTGTGCTTTACCTGAATCAGTGACATTCTCGTCGAGGTCCCGTCGCTGGGATTTGAACCCTGTCCGGAGAAAGTGTGACAGAGCACATGGCCCTGGGGGACGGTCAGGTTGTTGGAGGTGGGCTTCAGGTACATGACTTCAGAGCGAGGGGAGCTGAGAGGCAGGCGGGTCTGGTAATCGAAATAGACGGGAGAAGAGGCCAGCGAGGGGCTGCTCACCACGTTCATGGCATCCCTCTCCTCCACTTCGCTCTGCACCAACATGATGTCGTTCTTGCTGATCTTCTTCTTCTTGCTGCCCTTGGCCCCGAGGTGGGGGTGAGAGTACTCGGCGATGCGGCAGTTGTAGGTCCGGATCTCCTTGTTCTCCCTCCGGCACTTGACGGCGATGGTGACCATGGAGGCGAGCAGGATGACCGAGATGGAGCTCAGGGTGACGATCAGGGGCAGCGACATGTCCCAGGGCCGCTGCTGCCGCCGCAGCCGGTGCTCGTCTTTCGGGGCCTCCCCCAGGTAGGCCACGATGACCAGGCGGGCCACCGCCGACAGGGACGGCTTCCCGTGGTCGCTGACCCGCACGACCAGCTCGGCGCTCGGGGCCTGCTCGTCCCAGGAGGCCTGGGCCGTGCGGATCTCGCCGCTGCTCGGGTCCATGTCGAAGAGATGCTGCTCGTTGCCCTCGGCGATCTCGTAGGAGAGGCGGCCGCTCTCGCCGTAGTCGCTGTCGACGGCCCGAACGGTGGCGACGATGTAGCCGAGGCCGGCGTTGCGGGGCACGTGGATCTCGGCGGTGTCGTTCTGCAGCACCGGCAGCACGATGACCGGGGCGTTGTCGTTAACGTCCAGCACCGTGACCCTGACGGTGGCGTTACTCTCTAACGGCGGGCTGCCCGAGTCCTTGGCCAACACTTTGAACTCGAACGACTTGGTGCGCTCGTAGTTGAAGGAGCGCAGGGCGTAAATGGCGCCGTTGGACGGGTTGACCGACACGTACGTGTAGATGGAGACGTCGCCGACCCGCGACGGCACGATGGAGTAGGAGACGGTGCCGTTCTGGCCTAGGTCCGGGTCGTGGGCCAGCACCGAGCCCAGGTACTCGCCGGGGATGTTGTTCTCGGGCACTTGCAGCACGTACACGGGTTTGGTGAAGCGCGGCGCGTTGTCGTTCACGTCCGCCACCCTCACGGTGAACGAGCGGCTGGCGTTGAGCGGCGGGCTGCCGTTGTCCCGCGCCACGATGGTCAGGTTGTACTGGTCGGCGAGCTCGCGGTCCAGCGGCCTCTCGGTCAGCACCGTGTAGAAGTTGTCGTAGTTCTCCTCGAGGCGGAACGGCGCCGCGTTCCCGCCCAGCACGCGGCACTGCAGCTGGCCGTTACGGCCGAAGTCACGGTCGGTCACTTTGACCAGTGCGATGACGGTACCGGGAGGGGCGGCTTCGCTCACCGGGCCCTGGTGCACCGACACGAAGCTGACGGCGGGCGCGTTGTCGTTAACGTCGAGCAGGCGGACCGAGACCTTGCAGTGGGCCGGGATGGAGTTCGGGCCCAGGTCTTTGGCCTGCACGTCGATCTCGTAGATGCTGCTCTCCTCGTAGTCGAGCGGCGAGCGGAGCCGCAGCGTGCCGGTACGCGGCTCGATGGAGAACAGCTCCCGGACCCGGGGGCTCACGTACGGGCTGAACGAGTAGAGCACCTCGCCGTTGCTGCCTTCGTCCGGGTCGCTGGCGTTGACCCGGGCCAGCACGGTGCCCGCCGGCGTGTCCTCGCTCACCTCCACCGTCAGGCTCGGCTCCTCGAACGCCGGGCTGTTGTCGTTGGTGTCCACCACCTCCAGGCGGACCTGCACCGTGCCCGATTTGGGAGGCTCGCCGCCGTCCAGCGCCGTCAGCTGCAGCACATGGCGCGGCTGCTGCTCGCGGTCCAGCGGCCTCTGGATCACCAGCTCCGGGAACTTGGTGCCGTCTCCTCGGGACTTCACCTCCAAACCGAAGGGCCCGGTCCCCGGGCCGCTCAGCTCGTAACCCTGCAGCCCGAAAGGGCCCGTGTCCGGGTCGTGCGCGCTCGCCAGCGGGATGCGCGTGCCCGGCGCCGCGTTCTCCGGGATCTCCACCTCGATGCGCTCGCTCGCGAAGCTCGGCGCGTTGTCGTTGATGTCCACGATCTCCACCTTGATCATGCAGAGCACCTTGTCGTTGGCGAACACCTCCAGGGAGACGAGGCACTTGGGCGCCCGCTTGCACACCGCCTCCCGGTCGATCCGCTGCTTGGTGTACAACAAGCCGCTCTCCCGGTCCACGTCCAGCAGATGCGGCGCCGAATTCTCCAACACCCGAAAGTTCGCCTTCCTCTGCTCGGGACTGGTCGCCAGCCGGGCATCTTTGGCGATGTTCCCGATCACGGTCCCGGGTCCCTGCTCTTCCAGGATCGTGTATTTCAAATTCTTCAAGGTCAGCGCTCCAGTCCACAATAAGGCAAAAATTACAGTGTGCAGGTACATTCCCAGAACTTGTTCCTTTCCTCCCCCAGCCTCTTGTTTTCTCGCCCCTAAAAAAAAAGATGTTATTTTATGTTCTCCCCCTCCAGGGCGTTAAACCTGTTGATTAACAGCTCGCAAAACAAACGAGCCTGCAGCAGTGTGAAAAGCGTCGATAGATCTTACTCCGAGAATCATTTCCAATTGCGATTGAGTTTGACGACAAGAGCAAACTCTCCGGTCACCATCTTGCATTATAAATCCTTCAGAGGTGGGGAGGAGAGTTGGGGCGGAGGAGGGGGGGGGGGGGGTGGGGACTTGCTGAACACTTTTCTCCCCGTTTTCTCTCTGCTACCCAATGATCCGGGTTTTCTTCAGAAACGGTGTCCGAGGTACAAAATCTTCTCTTCCCTGTTCATTCCCCTTTCTCTCTTTCCTGCCTTTTCGCCCTCAAGTGAAATCCAAGCCGTTTGCGAACTGCGGCGCCGCCGATGTTCCACTTTTAATGCTTGCGATGTGTTCCTTCCAATTTCATGAGATGCAGCTGGTGAAAATTTTGCATGCTGCACACACACACACACACTCTCACAGCGTCTGGATGAATATCTATCTGTGTGTGTGTGTGCGTTTGCGCCCCTCTCTCTCTCCCTCCACTCAAAATCCACGGCCAGCTGCTCTCTCTCTCTGACTCGGGACCAGACCGCAATAAAACATTAAAATAAAACCATTCTCCTATTTTTTGTTCCTTCTCCCCACAGTCGAAGAGCGGCCGTTTGAATTTTTCTTTTTCGATGTAATAAAAACAGCTGTCATTTGGCACCCCGAGGATTTCCCGTTTAAAAAAAAGTCGAGTCAAGAAACGATGAGAAGCGACGCGAAGCTTCGGTGACACTTAGTGAAGGAAGAAGAGGGAAAAATAAATAAATCAGATCAGATCGAATCTCTGCTCCTTTCTGCAGCAGCCTCAAGCTCTCGGTGACACACACACGTTACTTTCCCTGTTGATTCCCTCCAGTTGTGATGTGCAACAGTCTTGAGTGCTGCAGGATGTACAGATTTGAGATGTTCTTTCTCACTCCTCCCTCTGCTTTTGGTTTGTCTGTGTGTGTGTGTGTGTGTCTCCTGTCCTTTTCGTTATGTTCCTCGCCCTCGCCTGCTCCAGTGTCCTTTTTGGACATGAACCTCTCGCCGACACGCTCCAGCTCCGTGCCTCCTCCTCTTTTCCCTCCTCCCCACACACACTCCCGCCCCCCCCTCCTTCACTCTCCCTCCTCCTCCTCCCTCCGCTAAAACCTATAAAGGGGCTGCACAAAAAAGCCCAAAGCTTCTCCGGCCAATGAAGTGCCCGGGCTCCTGTGGTACCGCCCAATCGAGCAGAGCGACCTCGGCCAATGGAGCTGGGCAAAGGAGGGGGGGGGGGGGGCTGTACAAACCGGGGGCTGGATGGAGAGGGGAGGGAGGACTCCGCCAGGGAGCGGGCATTGCCATGCGCGCCCTCGACGGCTCGCTCTCGGACCGCGGGCATGTGCTCATGCAATCCCACCGGCAGTTCTTTCTGAATGGATCCGGTAGCGAAGTGCAATTCAATTCGAAGCTTTTTATTTCATTCGAGTTAAAATGCCCAAAGTGAAATATTCTCGCGGGAGTGGGATGTTGGTGGGGAAGAAAGTACTGGGAAAGATGACAGCTTTGGGAACTAGATCTCACATATGAATGCTAACTCACAACAACGTTCAGTGTGCGTCAGTGCTGACGACTCGGGGGTAAGGTAGATACAGGTTAGGAGGCAACATTGTAATGTCCCTTAAAAAAAATCGTCATAGTGAAGGAAAATGGCACAATGTGGTCCTTTAGAGAAAAATAATATACTGATGGTATAGTGATGATGCAAACAGGTAGGAGAGAGAATGTGAGAGTGCAGGACTGGAAAAGAATCACAGGGACCAAAATAAATATGCCAGAGCTTGTGTACGTGATTTTAGCAAACAGTTCACAGGCGATCAAGGCGGATTTCTGTTTTCATTGTCAACACAAACAAGAAGTTTAGATTTGTGTTATTTTGTACGGAACACTGCCACTTTGCTAGTGCGAGTATCGACGGGAACGGGGTGTACATATTTGTAAATAGTCACAAGAGCATCAGCCCAAATACCCCAGGTTAAGTTTACAATAAAGGCGTGTGCTTGGCGTGGAAATATTTGAGAAACTCGGCTGAGCGCACTGCCTTGCCGAATCTCTATAACGAGATCACGAATAGGAAGCCAGGAGCTTTACTGGAAAAATTGACGGTAGCAACATCTTTAACCGATCTCCGACGGGAGAATATAACGCGTGTCAAATAGATCATATCCCGATATTCTGATTTTCGATGTTAAAACTGAGTTAAAAGTTGGTAGTTGGGTACACAAATCCGTGTCTGTTCAGACGTTGGTGGAAGTGCTTAATTGCGATCTATTCTGTCCGAGGAGAGAAAACGGGTTTGTAGCCAAGTGGCGTTTAACAGAGGATTAGATGGCCTCAATAAAACACGAGTTAGAAACAACCGTCCTTTTCTAAAAAAACTCAAAGTAATGACACGTAGCCAGCAATGCGAAGATTCAACTTTTTGAGGGGGCTGGCGGGAAAGCTGGGTGTGAAATTGTTTACCGATACGTTCTACCCAGCCTGTAGTGAATGCAGCGGTCTCAATGACACACTGAAACCGAGACAGCGATTTATTCCGCCTCCAGTACCAGATTATACTCTTGCCACTGACAGGTACAGTGGACAGCGGCGACTTTCCTTTGATTAAATCGCACAGTACTCTGAGCAGACGGACTATTATACCATGTAATTTGAACTGCAGAGATACCGTTTTTTTTAATTTCACTGCATATTACAGGGAAACAATATAGCGTGTGTATTTGATGTAGAAAATAGCAGATGGCTATGAGAGATTGATGAGACGTGGAGGTAATGTTTTCTGATACATCTTAACAGGCTACGAGAGTGGTTCAGTTGTCTGCAAACTACCTGAACCATCCAGTGTGTTAAGCCACAAGTACCTATTTCCCCAGTTTCACTGATGTCACTGAATATGTCGATACCCTCGTTTATTTTGGTAAACATCGATAACACAGCAAAATGCAGGTTAAATACGAGTAAACATCCTCAGCAGGAATTCTGCATAACACCGTGATTTTTTGTTGTAAAGGTATTTCTACACATCCTTACAGGGGCGCGTGTCCAAGATATTTTGTTTTCGCTCTGGAAAGTAATATGCGAGCATTACAAACGGCTTGTATCAAAGCCTTTTTTCAGTACTTTTTTGTACTTTCTCATACTTTTTTTTAACCATATAATGAATCAGTTTTATGACAATGACTCCAGATTTACAAGGATGATACCACAACTAAGAAAGTACAACCATCTAAGAGAGACTAAGCAAGCTGGTGTTTTCCTGTGTACCATGAAAACAAGAGGTGACCTGGTCGACACCTTGAAAATTAACAAGGGGTTCAATGGGGTTGACATAGGATGTTTCCTCTTCTTGTATAGTTTATACCGAAGGCCTGTAAATACTAAATAGTTATCAATAAATGCAATAGAAATTCAGGAAGCGTTCTCAATCATAGTGAGCATGTGGAACTTGCTGTTACACAGGATTATTCAGTTGAATTAAAACTGCATTTATAGGGAAACTGGATTATTACAGAAGTGAAAATGAAATGGTAGGTAATATTGATAGGGTGATGTCATACACTCCAAGCAATGAGCTGTATTAGTCGAATGCCTGGCTTATTATTTTCTGTTTGTTGATGCTCATGGATGGAAAGTTATGCGCTGTGGGCCTGCAACTAATGCACAATGCAAGTTCCACTCTCCATAATAACGACCACTCAAATTTATATTGTAGTTGTACCATGCTGCTTCTCCCAAGGAGTTTCATAGAAGCGTTTCAGGACAAAATTTGACAATGAGTTGGATAAGGCAGAGTTAGAGTTCAGGGTCACAAAGTTCATCAAGAGCAAGTTTTAAGCAGTATTTTAAAGAAGGAAAGAGATACATAGGCAGAGAGGTTTAGGGAGCAAATTGCAGAGCCTTGGGTCGAGGAGGCTAACAACACGGATATCAATGGTGAAGGAATTGAAATTGGAAACACACAAAGTGCCAGAGTTTGACTAATGTAGATGTCTCAGAGAGTTCTGGGCGTTGAAGGACTTTACAGAGATAAGGCCAAGGCCATGGAGAGATTTGAAAACATGGATGCGCATTTTAAAATCAAAATGATGCTTAACCAAGAATCAATATCGGTCAGCAACAGGAGTGACATATGAATGGGATGTTTAAGCAAGAACAAAGACAATAGGGTTTCAAATGACCTTAAGTTTATGGAGGGTAGAATGCAGGAGACTGCTCAGGCAACTGTTGTAAAGGTTAAGGCTACCAGGTAACACAGGCGTAGATGAGGATTTCAGCAGTAAATAAACTGAAGCAAGGATGGATTTGAACAATGGAAATTACAGAGCTGGAAATAGGCAGTTTTGTTTCTGCTATAGGTCTGTGCTCAGAAGTTCATCTTGGAGTCAAATATTAAATGGAGGTTGAGGGATGCCGACAGAGGAGCAGGTTGATATTGGAAACATCTATTGATGATCTTTACAGAGTCAGTTGTTGTTCTGTTTCATAAAGTTGTCGATTCAAGCCCCTCTTCAGGGACATGAGCATATCTAGAGTGACACTTGAATGCTGCCTGGTCAGAGTGCCGTCTTTTGTCTAAGATGTTAAATCAAGATTCCTTTTCAGATGGACATAAAATATTCTGTGACACTCTTCAAAGAAAAAAAAAACAAATGAGGTTGGAGCAAATTATGGCAGATGCTGGAATCTGTAGTGAAAAACAAAATGCTGGAAATCAGAGTGGGTCAGCTCTGATGAAGAGTCATTTAGAATCAAAACATTGGCAAGATCTTCAAGGTTTCCTGGCCAATATTAATCCTTTGACTAGCATTACTAAAACAGATTTTGTGGTTGATTTCTCATAGTTTGTGGACCCTGTGGTGTCCGTATTGGCTGCTGTGTTTCCTGCTTTATAATAGTGGTAATAATTCAAAAGTACTTCCTGAGTGTAGAAATGCTTTGGGGGTTCTTAATGATTGTGAAAAATGCAATATAAATACACATTTGTTTTCATTGTAATATGCAATTTCTCTTTCTCCACGAGCCTGAAACTGGATGAAATTGTTAACTAACACAGCAGTGGGCACTGGTCACATGTGGCTACTTGAGTTATGGCTAGTTGCATTTCTGATTAGTTAACAAAAAAAGTAATAGATATCATTGTTGCACTGTGATCATAACACTCAAATTTACCCACATACTGCCATGACCATGACTTAGACCCTGAACTGCTATGGCCATTTTTAACTTGTATTCCCAAAGTTTGCTTTTTGAAAGAGAGATCAGACAGCCACAAAAATGGCTGTGGATTAAATAAAGTTGCTATCTGGAGAGATCAAGACCACAGAATTTCACACCTATGGATGTGAAAGGTGTTTCAAACAGCACTTCATCGATGAGGCAATTGAAAACAGGCTGGACTGTTATCTGAGATAGTAGGAACTGCAGATGCTGGAGAATCTGAGATAACAAGGTGTAGAGCTGGATGAACACA